GTACAAGAACAATTTGTTCTAATAATGTGGCAATGTTTGATACTCATTTTTCCGACATGATCACAGAAGCCAAAATGGGTGCATAAGCAAATATGGTGAAGAAAGCTGATTGTGCCCAGCTATTAAAGGATGTAGAATCTGAGGTCTTAAAGGGTAGTAGTTAAGCAAGTGGCTATCTACAAGGGAAGCAAAAAAGCTCACTTGGAAGAAGCACACAAGCCTGTGTGATAATGAGGTGTCGTCAGGAATAGGTATCAGAAGTTCAAAAGAAGCAATAAAATTCACATATAGGAGTGTAAACAACATGGAGACCCAAAACCCACCTGTAAGATAATTGAACAGTTCCTCACAGAAGGGCCACATGGAAGGGATTATATATCCAGGGTGCAGTATAGCGCTAATGAAACACATCCCCGAGTTCTTTAATATTTTCTCCCCTTATTACTACGGTCTTAGTTTTACCTCATTAATTTTATTAGATCTGTGTATGTTAATTTGTATAATTAAGATAGTTCAATGCATGAAATCTAAGACAGATATACATTTCAGGAAAAGTTATGTGGGATGTGAGGGCGATCTGGCTGTGAACTCTGCCACCCCATTGGTCGCCAGGGCTGACATGGCTCATCTGGCTGGCTAGGCAGCTGTCCCCGCTTTCCCTCGCTGCTCCATGTTATGTAGTTATGATTCCCAGGGAAGAGGGGACGGATAACAATGATGACTGTATAATCCCACTCAAGGGGAATGAATAACAGAATTTTAGGTGAACGGATACATTGGATGGTGTAAGATAAGTCATTAATAATAATAATAATATAACAATAAGGGTTCCTGGTGGGAAATGTGGGGGAAAAATGGGATAAAGAGGAGCTGATAGCAAAGAATTCAAGAAGAAAGAAAATGTTTTGAAAGTTATGGTGGCAGAAGTTGTACAATTATGCCTGATCAAATTGAATTATGGATTGTTATAATGTCCATAAGAGCTTCCAATAAAATTATATAAGAAATTTTACTAATTTGTTCTTCGTCAGTGGATTGATGTTGTTGCTGTTTTGTTGTACAGTGTTGCTTGGTTTTGCTCTGTCTTGTTTTTATGCATGTTGTCTC